CCCACATACTCTTAGATCAACGAGATTCAACTGTGTCTCGCATACAAATCATAATGCAACAACCCTCCACCAATAGGAGTGTGACACACCTTCCTGACGCATGTGACTCCCTCTATTCGATTCTACCGAACTATCACTTCGAGTTTTGGCAGAAAATAAAAGCACCGGTTTTCAGTAGGGTGAACGGGTGGGAAGTACTTATTGTATATATATATATTCAGTATAGGAAAATTATAACTTCTGATATGGTATATTACATCCTCCACACAAATAGCTAGAATCCCACATTGAATAGGTGGAGAGACCAGTGTGAGGGAAAGAAATAAGCATCCTTTAAAATCATCCGAAGAACACCCTAAAAGAATAGATCCTTGCAGTAGAGGATAATACATGGGAGACCACACCTCTTCTATACTCCACTCAATGTGAAAAGAGGTGTTTCAGACATGGGAGGAGCACATCCAAAAGGGAGAGAACAGTGGCTGGATAGGAATCCGAACCACATGATATTGGAATCTCAATCCCATGGAGTATATCAATCTGGGTGAGAGTAAAAGGATGTGCCTCTAGGTAAAGAGTGGCTAAGACACGACAAACTGTACAAGGCAACTGCATCAAAAACCCAGCTGCTAGGAACCGACATCCACACAGGGGTAGGATGAGGATCATACTGTCGGTAAGGCAACTACAATCCAAAACCCAGCCATCGGAAACCAACATCCATGTGGGAGTAGGAAAGAGAATTATACTGGTGACAAATAAACTACAATCCAAAACCTAGCCATCAGGTGGGGATAAGAAAGAGGACCATACCGTTGTCACCTCAAATTCAGAAGTTCAGTACTCCCCGATCTATGATGGGACACACAATAGCAATGTGATAAATTGTTTGACTGACACAAGAACCCGACATCTGGACAGTTGCTATGGTAAAGATGTATCTGTAATGTAAACTATCTCACTTAAAACCAATCCAACAGGAACCACCCCCAGTGCAACAACATCCTCAGAATAAGAAAATCAGTGTAAGAGGAAGAATCATATTAATCTGCAAGTTCCACTGCTGTGAACCATAACACGGGTGGAGGGAACAAGAGTATAAATGAGTGAGGAAACAGACACCTATAATACATGTGAGGACTTATGGTTATTGGTTCAGCTCTGAATCCAAAACCCAGCCACTGGGAACCGACTTCCATGTGGGGGAAGAATGAGGGATCCAAATTGAAGGGGTGAACTGCAGTTTTGACTGCTCACTACTAAGTTGCAACATCTCCACAGATAAACCCATACAAATATGGAGCATCAGATTGGAGGGCATCTTTTAATCTATACCAGCAGAACACCACTGCTCTACTCTCAACTGAACGGTTTTGTCATTATTTGTATTGTATATCATTATCCATGATCCACCACCCCAGTGTGTTTGAACTGGAAAATGGTAAGGAATCCCATACTCCACTGGAAGAAAAGGAATGTCAACACCAGAGACAGTGCAATGAGAGACCACAAAACCCTATTTTGAAGAGCAGACCACTCCTGATTTATTCAATGGCAGCTACCCAAGACAGATAATGGGAGATAAACATATGAAGTGTAGTCCCAATGCTCGACGGAAGAAGTGCCTCCAATGTATGATGAGGCTGAGATGCAGATAAAAGGGAAGCTAAGCAGAGTGAAGACACCAGGAATTGAATATGGTGAAAAGGGAGATAAGGAAGAAAAGGCCAATCAGATCAAAAAGGAGGGAGGAAAAAGTCACAAACAGAAGAGTGGTGCCAGGGAATGAAACAGCAGGAAAGGTAACCAACGGAAACAAGTCTTGAAAGCAATGAAGCAACCCAGAGTAGGTACAGGACATAGAAGGCCAACCGGATCCAATAGGGATTAGAAGTAGGAGATGGAAGGAAATGAAAATGAAGAAAAAAAAGAAGTGCATGCCCCAAAGTGGAGGGTAGGAAAAATCGATCCAGAACAAAAAGGACAGATCGAGTTGAGAAAACCAGATCTGTGTCGGCCAGGAAGGAGCAATCAGAAAGACCAGACACAGAGTGGCAAGGATGAGCGAAATCACCCAGGGAAGATGAAGAATGAGATGAGAAAAAAAAAGGTATAAACAGGTCCCCATCCTGTCTGAATGCATAGCCAGCCAAGGCAAGTGGATGAGGAATTGGTGACAAAGACATGCAGTTCTGAAACAAACTCGAAAAGCAAGGCACGAAACTAGTACCCAACCCCATGGTGAACAAACGTAAGACAGCACAACGAGGGATGGAAAATATGAACTTCGACCATAGGCATCCCGGAGAAAAGGCTCACCGTAGTGTGATAAAAAACAACATAGGAAATAACTCAGAAGTGGTTAAGATGGGACAGATCTATCACAGAACTCCAAACTGTATCGAGAATACATGACTAATAGATGAATTTAAGATGTAGGACAAGTAAATGACGGGAAGATGGCTAAAGAGACAAACGAGCAACCAAAAAAGAAAAAAAAGCAATGGAGCAATACAGATACCCAATGTGGTGCTAAAGTCATAGAAATAACACCTCCAAAAAAACTGACCAGTGGAGGAAAAGTGCTATCTATAAGTACCAATTGGAAGTGGAAGGGAAACGAACTTGGTACAAGACAGTATCCCATCCCAAAAGCAAAGAAGCCACGTTAGTAGGGAAAAAGCCAGAGATAGCAATCGCCCCAACATGGAGGTAAGGAGGAAGAAGTTATTTCACGAAAATCCCCAAGAAATACGTGGAACACCTCAGAAAGGAGACCAATACAGTAGGAGAGGCAATAGGGGAAGACTAAGGCTGGAAAACTTGGCTAGAGAAAAAGGGATAGGATTAACAGATTTTGCCCCCATACAGGCAGTGTATTAAAGCTGACAATTCCTCAGTCGAGTACCACCACCTGAGATCTAAGTAATTTTGTTGGAAGTAAAAGATAACATTTTCGAAGAGGAAACATAAGTTTTGGTGAAAAAATAGAAACTATCCCCATTTGGTTTTAAATTTCAAAAAACATTTTGACGATAGTATTGCCAAACGAGAAGTGATAGTTCAGTAGAATCGAATAGAGGGAGTCACATGCGTCAGGAGGATGTGTCACACTCCTATTGGTGGAGGGTTGTCACATAATGATTTGCATGTGAGACGCAATTGAACCATGTGGGAGTTCAAGGCTTGTGGCGTGCGAAAAAAAAATTGCATATAGGGGCAGCACTAGACAAGAATAGCTATTTATGTCAGAAGAGGTAATGGACCGTATCGGAATTTACAACTTTCGTACTTACACAGTTCTTTGATGCTTTAAACTAACGTTACATATTTTCTTAATGTGTTATTTTTGTAAGTAAACACAGTGATATCTTTTCTTTCTCTTATACTTCATTTCTTCTCTATCCCCGTGGCTAATAACAGAACTTTGTATTAACTGTGCGCATATCAGTAAGTGATATTTAAGCAAAACTGAATCTATAAAATTAAGAGAAAAGGGGGTAGTTAAATGAATGAACATAAAGCTCACTACTTTCCAAAGGCCCTGTGATCACACAAAATATGCAAGCTAAAATTTTATATCACTTATAAAACTTAATAATGTTCATAATTTTAATAGTTTAATTTTAAATTTGCCTACTGATTATAAGTATTATTTTATTACCAGTTACAAATTTACAGTAAGGAAAATATTTTTAAAACAGGTACAACGTTTCGATCACTGGTGTGACCACTCTTAAATACAATTAAATAAAACTTGTGCACTTAAGAATGACCACACTAGTGATCGAAACGTCGCATCTGTTTTAAGAATATTTTTCCTTATTATAAAAGCTGTAACTTGTAAGAAAATAGCATTCATAATTTTAGGGTTTTTCTCACTTTGCAAAATAGTTGATAATAGTTTATTTTTGTTATTACATGAGAATAATCGAATTTTGATAATGAGCATTTTTGGTAATTGCAATATATCTGACATTTAAGTTGCTAGAAAAATAAAATAAACTGTTACAAGAGGGCGATCGTGTTATATTGGGGCGCGAAAAACATTTCTTCGGTGTATGATAAATTGAAGCATAAAAATAAGAGTTTAAAACTCATGTAATTTTAAAGTTGTAATATTTCAAATATAAAGGTTTGGTGTATTTTTGTTGTGTCATAAAAATTATGTCACTGAATTTAAAGAATCAAGCTTTTATGGCTTTTCAAATTAGTGGCCTTACTCTTCGCAGGTAAATACATAATAATATACTTTTTAATAATATCCATTTAAACTGCTAGTAGTGGCAGTCAGTAAAGTATTAAACTAAAGTTCAAATTAATAAATATTTTTTACTACTGCTACTAACTAAATGTAAATATCACTAATCGTCATTGTCTTTTACAGTTAGTGCATTGCATAAATTATCTAATTTGTTTATAAATTATATAAACCTTTGCAAGCAGTTTAGAATTTAGGTTAGTGATGTGTAATTATAATATTTAAAATATATCCCCGATTCTAAACGAAAACTAAAAATTATATTATTAATGGAAAACAATTTAAATAAACCCACAGAGGTTTGCAACTTTCAAGCATGTTTTTATCTTAACACTTTTAGGTAAGAAAAATTATGATTTTCCTTTCTCTGGTATCACCACTTTACAAAAATGAAATACTATTCAGTTCAAACATGTATATTGTTATAAGTGTTGTGCTGCAGCTTTCACACTCAGTGTCAACACAGGTGACTGAAAATAAACGTCGGAAATGCTGAGTACAATGTTTGTGTTACTACTAGTACTACTCGTGCACTGACATGACTCTTCATATTTCAAAACATACCCAAAGATTTTCAAGAAAACGTGTAAAACAAAACCACATTTATACAAGTTAATTAACATGGCCTGTTTTATTGTTTAAATGTAAGTTTTAAAATACTTTTAATAAAATGCAATATTTTGTGCCTATCCATTTCTATTTTCATTACACTATTTATTTTTTTAATTAACTTCTTATCTGGCATTTATTATTGTATATCAATTTGGCTGCCTTCATCCAAAAATAATTTTAATGAACAATTATTTAATGACAACAGATAGTCAAAAGAATACTAGAAATTAAATTCCTTATTCAGAGTTGTTGAGAGAAATCAAACTGTATTATTAGGAGAAATCAAAAACACTTGAATAGCATTTGAAGCTAGGCACCAAATGATTCAATATTTTTGTTATGAACTTCTCAACAACTTAAGAACCTGCATCACTATCATTTTAATAACCATAATTAATATCTGTATGCTGAAAGTCCTAAAAAGAATAAGGTATCTTTAAATGTATCCATTTACTACATTTCTCTCAGACAGACTTGGAATGTTGGATTTAATTAACACATTTATAAATGCTAAAAAGGAAGTCAGTGGTGTACCCATTATGCCTTATTGTCTCCTATCATCCTTCCATTATGTCTTTGCTATGACTATATTTGTCTTTGCTGGGACTATATTTAAAGCAACAGGTTATAATAGCTTATGTCAGCATCAATGTCAAGACCTGTTGTAATTTTTAGATAGGATTAATAAGACAAGCTCACTAGGTTTAGCCTTGGGATATTGTGTATAGTTTTAGAAAGGGTTCAGAGGTTGGCTACTAGGATTATTATGGAGATCAAAGGGTTATCTTATAAAGATATGTCAAGATCTCTTGATAAAAGAAATAATATTAGAGTTTAAAATTTTATTCAAAGGATTGACAGGATAAAGAGCTCAGATTGTTTTGTGTGTGCTGGATTATACAGACAGTAGGATGAGAGGACCTAATCTTAAGATTTGGAAAAGACAAGCTAGGTTTCAGTTTTATTTTTCCAACAGGGTGATAAATTTATGGAATGAGTTGCCATCTACAATAGGTGAGACTAGCAGCTCACTAGTGTTTAAGATGGGACTCAATGATTTCTTGAAAAATGAAGATTAGTTTTAAAGGCAATTGAAATGAAGATGTGTTATGTTGCACAAAGAAATAAATATACTGTTTAAAAATCCTGACACAAACTGCCAAGGTTGTCATTAAAACCATTAAATGCTGCGATTTACAAACACTTCACGCATAAACAAACATATAGCAGCCTTCAATAAATATCAGTTGAATTTTACAATGAAAAAAAAAAATCTTTTTATTACCAGTTGTGGTGTTGATTAGTATTGTATCAGCACAATACACTTAGTTAATATTTAGCATAATGGACTTCAAAAGGAAAACAACAGTTTTGAAAAAAATGTGAAAAAAATAATGAAATCAAGAGTATTGTGTTTACTTGCTACCAAGATATGTATATTATACTTTCTGCTAATGACTGACTAGACATATATTTATTTATTTTTATACAAATAAAACATAAGTCAGAGATTAAACATTCTTCTTATGCTTTGAACTTTTGACTAAAACTGATTAAAACTTCAGCTTAAAATGTTTGTTGAATTTTTATTACTGTTGTGGATAGTGTGGGTGTCGTGATATAACAAATAATTAACTTTTGAACAGTGAGTGAATGTATTCCAAAATTTGTTTGGTGACATTTTTATGAAAATGTGATTGACTAATTCACATTGAATTATAACTTGTTAGAAATAACATTTAAATAAGAGTAAAAATATTCTAATAAGAAATTTAGTTTTTAAATTATGTTAAGCCTATTTTATATTATGATGGTAAGATATTTGTTAAAATCAAATTATTTATTTTAAAATGTTATATTTTTTTTTATATTTTCATAGTGATGCAGGAAAGTACCTTCTAAGCCTTTTGAGCCCCATCAAAGAATGTGAAAGAGGAGAGTGGCTTACAAAGATTGTGGAAGCAGTGCAACGTCAACCATTAACATCATCTTTTGTTGACAAGACCGTAATTGAAAAGGCATTAAAAGAGTTTACTGATCCTGAAAAGGAAGAAGCTGAAGCCTTTTTAAATATTATTAGTGCCTACTCTGTTCCAGCCTTGGCATACGAGTATGTATCTTTTCACAATTATTCCTTGTATTCAAATTTCAGAATATCTACTTTTTTTTACATAGTTGGTTCACACAAGTTTTAGTTTTTACCTCATGGCTGTTTTTTTCTATTATGTTTTAGGAAATTACAAGTTTTATAACTCAAATGTTGAGAACCAGAGTGGTGCAACTATATTTTTGAAATTCACTTTTCAGTGTTTTATCTTTTTTCTCAATAATGTTTATTGATTATATGTTATAAAAAAAAAAAGAGAGAGAAATTAGGGAGCTTACATAAATGAGCTAAAGTGCAACTGACTCTGACCTTGATAGTATAATAATCAGAATTTGACCTTTATATTACTTCACATTTCATGCATTTTCCCTAGAATAAAGGACATTACTCAAAAAATTAAGTATGCTCTAGACTAACAACAGTCTACTTAAGCTTTGGTACAAATGTTTGTACATGTTGAAGACTCCAGCACTGGAGACAGAAGTTTATGTTGAATAAATCTTCAAACAACATGTGCAAAAACACTGATTCATTTATTCTGTTTTATTTATAATTCCATGTTTATTATGAGCTTTTAAAAAGACATTTGTGTTTTAAATTTAGTGTAAAGGCAATCTCTAGTAGCACCTTCTTGCTAGGCTCTTTCATTTGCTGTTAATGCTGGAAATTAGTCATTGTATATGTTCAGTTATAAACTTGACTTTAAGAGTTGTAATAAAAGGCAATGTATTATATGCTTATCATATTTCTAAAACTTGTAGGTATTTTATGTAGTTATGTAAATATTTAAAAGCTAACATAATGTATGCAGTTTCTCTTGAACTTTTATTTATCATTTGGTTTAAAAACTAACCATAATTTCTATTAATTTTGACTTAACAGCTTACTAGAGATGTTTTAATAGGTACATGCATATTTTAGTAGATACAGTTTTAATGTTTTAACAGTCACATGCATATTGTAGGAGATACAGTGGTAATGTTTTAATAGTCACATATTGTAGGAGATAGAAAGTTTAATGTTTTAATAGTTACATGCATTTTGTAATAGACAGTTTTAATTTATGAATAAGTAGTGGTTCCTTGATAGTGAGGACACTGTTCCTTGTACATTTATTAAAATACTGAAGTCCTTAACAAGAGTCTTTAATAATAGTCTTCAAACTTTAACTTTGCCTTAGTCACTTTATCAGATACAAAAACAGACTCCCTGAAATGTATGACTCTTTGAACATATATCAATATCATTGGATCTAAGTTTCAATCATTAAATTCAAGTATCAAGGAGCATGCATCAGTTTTTTTATATAATCAATTAGCCCTCTTCAAACACATTAGTAAGATCTGTATTACAGCTTAAATCTACAGGAACTTATCAAGTCCACAAGCTTATTATTTTTCTCAGTATCAGTCATTCACTACTTAGTCACAAGTTAAAACCACCTATTAGAAACATTCATCTGCAGTGACACTATTGCTTACATTTTTAGTGGTTGTAAATAGGAACAAAGGTTGTTGTTTTTTTCTTTTGCTTTAATTATGGATGGTAGTATTCATTAAAGATTTGAAAGTTTAACATGAAAGGTATTTAATTATCCTCTTTCAGCTGTGTAATTTATGCCCATTACAGTCTGGTTTTAAATTCTGTCACAATTTTTAATGCAAAGGATCAACCTGCATTTTCTGATTTAACATTAATTTTCTAATGTTGATAGAAAGGGCTTCAAGAACATGAAATGATATTCTTGAATCCATTGCTATTAACTTCAGAAAACCAAGATTAAATCAATAGTTAGCCTTCTTGAATTATAACAATCATATGACTTTCTCCCATAGGATTACATTGATTCACACTTGCTTCATATTCCTCTGACTTGATCCAGTATTTCTGACACATAACCTCTTGTAAAATAAAACACAAGTTTCTTTTAACTATTTTCATAAAAAAATGATCAGAATTATATAAAAGATCTGTAGATTGGATAATTATAACAAAATTAAAAAGAATAGATATAATACTGTATTTGAAATTTGATACTTACAAGTCTATGATTTTGGTGTATTTTAGCCCTGAAATGAAACGGTTTACCTCAAAGAAAGATGCTGGGTCAATTAATCTTCATTCTGATGCCAATACTAAAGCATTCATCTTCCTACAAAGATATGATTTAGTTTACCAGCGAACTATACGACACAGCTTGTTTTCTCCACCAGTTATTACTGGACTTTCACCTTTGCAACCACAGTCTTTCACTCTTAAACCTGTTGAGTTTTTACTTGGAACATCATCAAAACAAGGAAATTTAATAGTCTTGGGCATGCTGACTCAGATGAAAGAAGTATGTAGTGTCATTATTTATTTTTCAACAATTTTACTCAAATGTTTAAGTACCAAGATCAAGTTAAGTTTTTATTTCATTGAAATTAGAATACTGCATATATATATATATATAGATAGATAGATAGATTTTCCATATTTTACTGTTAAGATCATTAGTTATTCAGTGTATCTGATTTTTAACCTAATTTTTGTATATTTGTAAAATTAATTTCACATGTTTTGAAATTACTTAAGTTTTTTTTCCATCAATTCAAACACTCTAAGACAAGATATCACGTAACTTATAAGTATGAAAAGTCTTAAATATTCATTGATATCTCCTAATGGCATTGAACGTGAAAAAATACCATATACCTTTAACTCTTTCTTTTGACAAGTCATATGCACTAAGTTTTTACTTTTTGCTTTTATATATATATATCAGTGTGAGAGATGCCTTTAAATTTTCACTCCATTTGAATTTTTCTGGATGTGCACTTCTAGTAAATTCTTGTATAATTATATAGACTTTTTTTTTTAACTTTTCACAGTCTTTGTTTCTTGGTGTTTACTATTAACATTCCAAGTAACATGGTCAGTTTTCTGCATTTAAACTCATTTTTGGTCTGTTAATACCACCATGGAATTCTTAAACTTTTTTTATTAGTGATTCTAGTTGTTATTTCAAAGTTTGCAGTTTTTCCTATTATTTTGTGTAAACTTATTCTGTATAAGTAACTTGATTAAAAACAGACTGTTTCTGAGCATTGAAAGGTCAGTTTAACATTTTCACATGTGGAAGATTTCTAGACTCTTAATTAAGATCTATTGATTATTTCCAAAAGGTTCTTATTAGGGATGTCTAAAATCACTGTCCATTCTTACTGTTGAGTTTATCTGAAATTAGGCTGATCGTAATGTCGTATCTGTATGGTAGGAAAATTTGATTAATTTTGTCAACAGGCCTGATTATACCTTTTTATCAAAAATCAATAGTTCAAAATTACTTCCAACAAGATTAACCAATAATGTAATAATAAGTTATACAAGTTATTTAAATTATAAAAGTTAAGTTACTTTTTATCTTCAATTTTGTAATCAGTTATGAATTATTTTTAAAGTACTGAGAAATAGCAATTAACATATATTTTCACTGTGTACTGCAAAGTACAAAAATTTTCATTGGATAATTTTTTCTTTTCTTTCACTAATATTTATGCATAAATGCATGCTTTTTGCATCTCGAGTCTAATCTGAAATATCAGACCTAAATAACATGTCTGAATATTTATTCGAATTCTTTGAGGCTTTCCATTCATAACATTTAGTTAGTGGAAAGACAAATCAATCTTAAGCCTAATATTGTGTTACTTTAAAGGCAGAATCAACTTTTTTTAACAGTATGCCTTTAGATACAATTCAAAAGAAATAATTCAAAATAGAGAAGACTTTACTGCTTAAATATGGAAAGTTGCAACAGTATATTGTAATAATAATAATATCTACATGTTAACACCCATAAATCCTTTAGGTTTTTAATACATGTAGCTTATTAGAGAATAACTATAAGAATTTGTGTTCTAATTTGAAGAGTTTATAAAAACAGTAATTGAAGCAAGAAACACCTTAATCTTGATGGCCTGCAAATGCAATTCAATGTGACTAAAAGAAACATTTGTATTTGAAATATTTACTTTAAGATTTATATAAGAATTACAAACACGTAAACATATAAAATTTAGAAGTACCACAAAACTATTTTGATATTCATAACCTTATTTTGGCTTTATTGTGGTAGAACTTAATTTTGATTTGATATCAAGGCCATTTATCTTGGTAGTTTGCATACATAAAATGTCTTTTAAGTCTTTGCAGGAAGATGCATCTGATAAAATTCCCTGTAACAGGCTTAACAAGACTCACTGTGTTGAAACTCGTCATTTCTTATAGTCATTTCCATTATTCTAAGGTCCTAAAACCTTTAATTTTTCAATATTTGAAACTAAATGATAAACACTTTAAGAAAATGTCAAGGTAAGTGACATACATATGCCTAGCCAGTTTGGAATAAAATTGTTAATAACTGATCTGTATTATGTTAATCTTATCCGTAATGAAAAGTTAGTTTTGTAATTTTTTTTATGTATTATTTAAAGCTTCTACTGTTTTAGGGAAAATATTTCCTGGAGGATCCCACAGGAGCTGTACCTCTTGATCTCAGCAAAACTGTTATCTTGTCTACAAAATGATATACTTTTTTTCTTAATTAATATAAAGAAAAACATAATGAAAATTAGTGTTTTAAAAGTTAAAATTTCATTGCATAAGTATGGTACTTAAGGAAATAAAATAACTCAAGTATATTTATGTTTATAAATCAGTATGTTAGTTATGAGTGTAGGATTTGTAGCATTTTCCTTAACATCTTATTAGGTATATAAAGGTGGTTTGTTTACAGAGAATAGTTTTGTGCTAGCTGAAGGAGTTTATGAAGATAGCATTTTCCATGTCTCTGCTCTTGGATTTCCTCCTCCAGAACCAGCAAGTACCACATTGTATGTACTTTTTTTATTGTAATTAAGATGCACATATGGATTAGTTAATTAAAAATAAATCAATTTTAATGAGACAGAAAGTAAACCTTTTTAATTTTAACTATTCAAAAAGGCTTTATAATATGAGGAACTGAATAATGGCCGATGACATTTTTCTTCACTTCACCTATCCATTGTATAGGTTTTTCTCTTAGTGACTACAAAGCACGCTCACACCAACAGTATGTTTGAGAAAGGTATTGTTCATTTGAGTCACTATGGGATATGTTTTGAAATGACCCCTTGCAGTTTTAAGTATTTTGGCACGTTTGGATCCATTAAGCTCAAATACTGGAGAATTGAGATCATTGAATAAGTTGTTACTTATTTAATTGTTTCAATAGGCCAGAGTACGTGACTTTAAACCATTCTGTGGAGATAAATATGTGTAATTTCACTAACATAAAATGCTTTTCATAAGAGGTATACAAGAATGGGAGAGAGTTTTAAGTTAAATGAAGGGTATACTTGTAAATACATTTCAATGTTTCATATTTTGTTCACTTGCTTATCAGAATTAATAACTACATTCAAAATTGTTTGTTTGAAAAAAATTTTTATTTGAATCTCAAATTACTGCCTTGTTTTTGATATCATTCATTACCAGTGGGGTCCACATATGGTATCATATTAGGTAAATTTCACATTTTTGCCTGTTACAACACTCGCTTAAAGAAATGAAAAACAGCATTGGTGAAATACATAGGAGAACTTAGTAGTAATAGTGGAACTGATTGCAATACTAATGGTATTTTTACTTAGATATTTTTGTGTGGCACATATGTTATTAGGAACCCTACAGCCAACAAAGTTATGGATCCACAAGTAACTTGGTGTGTAAATAGTTTGGCAAAATGTGTTTAAAAAGTTCATAAGGTCCAAATGGATCTTCTCTCAGAAGTTCTAGGTTTAAAGAAGTAAACACTGATGACAGTTCCAGTTTTGTTTGTGCAGTCATAATTGTACACTAACTTAACTTACAAGGCATTGTAAATTATGTTTCATCAGCTCTTTGGTCAGAACTGTTTCGTATCATATTTGTATTTGAGAGTGTGTGTGTGTGTGTGTGTATATATATAGGATGATTCATAATTCTTGCAATAATGTGAGAGCACCATATAAACTGAAGGGTACATAAAAGGTAATATGCAAAAGAAAAACGTCTATGACAAGGATACTGATATTGTTGGACAAATTACGATTCACCCTCTATATGTTTAGACACTCACATATAAATATAAAACCTACACAGTTTACCATTTTTACTTGCATTTAGGCTTAGTCTCTATTTTAGTCATTTAAATGTTTTTATTTTGTACAGATAGAAGAAATTTGTGTTTTAATAATGAATTGTTAATGTTTTATTTGTTTCTGTAGGCAACATTTTGGGAAAACTAATTTTTTTGGGGGTCCGCATGCTACCAGCGTACGAACATCAAAGAAGTTGAAATCCTTGGAAGAAAATAACTCTGAAGCTATGTTTATATTCTTATCAGATGTTTGGTTAGATAAAATTGAGGTAACTATCATTAATATGTATTTGATATTAGTAAATGTTTGAAGGAATAACCATTATAGTTTTTATATATATACATATATATTTTCTCTTAAATATATATATATATAATGACCTATAACTTAACATTAGTTGATGATAAAAAAAAAAATAATAATAAATAGAAAAGGAGTATTTTTAATTGTAGTAATATCTATCTCAATAAATTCTAAGAAGTAATAAATCCAAAACTTAAACATCATTTTGCTGTTTGTGTTTCTTGGGTAACTAGTTTCCAATTGGCCTTTTAACCTCAGACCAACAGTAGGGTCTGAGCCCATTAATTTTATAAGTACATATTTCTAAAATATTTATGCACTAACTTGTTTTGGGCCTACGACTGTGTTGGTTACAGGATTCCTAATAATATGTGATCTCACAAACAAAATGTAAACTAAAATGCCATTAACATTATAGTTAGTCTTACTAATTACAACTGGGATTTTCTATGTATTTTTAGTAGAAAATGAGTGATTTCACCTTTTCTTTGTCTGTTCCTTACATTGAGTGTTGTGACACTAAAACATAAGATTACCCAATATGAAGCTATACGTGGACTCCATGGTTATATGTAAACAATTTAGTAATTTGAGGGTTGAAAAGAATGTATTATGATTTTTGCTGGCTCCACCTGCACTTCAGAACAGAACTGTGTTTTTGGTTGTAGTAGGTTTTTAGACTTTTTATTTTTCTCTTAAATATTTGGTTAACTTAATAATTTTAATAACTTAATTTTCCAAACCAATGTGCACTTGTTTAATGTTTCTCTTAAATATTCAACTCCTACAAATCATGTTGTAATCAAACATGTTTGAATGGGAGACAGAAAAAATGTTTTTTTTAGTCACTTATTAGACTATTTAACTCGCTAAACTATTTCTGCTGTAGTGGATGTTTAACTTAATTTATGTTTGTTTATTTTTCTTTCTAATCTTGGCTATTATGCTTTTTAAGTAAGAAAATAGTTCTTAAAAATATGTTATTTCATTGTAATGTAAGTTAGTTAGGGATATTTTTGCTGACATGTTTATCAGAATGTTATAAAAGTTTTATTGCTACAATTACTGATCGATTGGATGTTTTACGGTTTGGGCAAAAGTTTAGTTTTATTCTTTATTAAGTTTTAGCTCAAAAGGTACTCTGTCAGCCCACCTTGAAATAAGATTCATGAACATGTAGTTAAATAAAAAATTATTAAAAATATAAAAATTAAAATAAGTAGAACTTCATAGTTTATTTTTAAATAACTTTTTATTGTATGATCCACATTGAGCCTTAAAATTAGAAAATATAAAGCTTCTAGAATATTATAAATCAATTTTTCCAACATACTTTTTGCTTCTTAATAAGTATTTGAGCTACTTTTTTCTCTATTACTAGCTTTAAAGGGGAAAAAAAATACTTTGTGGGTTTATTTGTTTTACATATGGATGCTGATAATTAAAAAATTTTGCAGAAATTATAATGAAATCTTTTTTTTTTCTAGGTGTTACAGAAATTAAAGATCCTTCTTGCTGGTTTTTCTGAAATGCCTCCCACCTGTTTTGTTCTTATGGGAAACTTTGTATCTGTGCCACAAGGAATCAGTCATTCAAAGATAGTGAAAGGTTGGAATGTTTTTACTTCACTTATTCTGTTGTATTTTGTATGCGTATATTTGTATAAAAGTTACTCATTTAACTTTATTTGATGTCGAGAATAAGCTGATACTTGGAATTAGTGTGTTAGCATACTCTGAGTTTATACTTGTTATTACTAACATACTAGTTCTTAGTTGATAAACCTACTTATTGTTTCTCTATTAATAAGACCTTTTGTTAAACTCGGTTTTCAGTTTTTGCACAAGTAAAATAGACTAATTAGCAAAACATCCAAAGTTCTATCAGCATGTAAAGGAAGAAATGATAAAATAGAAAGCTTGCCTGACCAATAGTTTATAAAATTCACACATTTATTTATTAAATGAATTCAAATCACTAAAAACACTAGTCATATGAAGAAAAGGTTATTTACTTTGGAGTAAACAGATACCTACATTTGCAACTATTTGGTATCATAAAATTGGCTGTACACTATAGTCATCATCAGAGATATCTATCATTATTAGTATATCAAATGTGTAATAGGACTTGGTTATTAAAGCTCAAGTCACATGTTTGAGTATGAGCTAGTGTTATAAAAATTTATTGTTTTTATAAACAAAACAAATTAAACTTCCTCACTTAATTCTCATTCTCAATATTTGTACACTGAATGTATGTAAATAATGTAAGTGATATAATTTGTCAAGATCAACATTGTAATTGATTATAGTTAGTCCTAGCATGTCATTGATCTTGAGACAAGTGGTCACAAGAGACTGAAAATAGACAGACCTGTATAATTACTATCTTTACAAAGTGTAAACAAAGTGGCAAGAAAAGAACCATGTGGTTAAAACACATGAAGTTAACTTCATTCTTTCTCTCTCATTGAATAATGTATCAGTCCTAATAAGTTGTACTGTTTTCATGTTTACACCTATACTTGCTTGGATATAGCTGCTATTTAAACTGACGACATTTTTTAAACCTATTTCCTTGAGAGAAATTCTTTGCACTAAAAGCTATGTTTTTATTATTGAGTCATTACTTTTCTGCAATATTATTTTTGATATATTTAATTTTCCCTTTTGTTACACGTGCTTTTGGTTTGAATTGCAGCCTTCCTTAGTAAAGTGTGTACTTTTATGTAAATTATAACACTTTTATGTGAGCCAGTAATGCATTTTGAGAGTCAAGAGCGTGTTTAAAAAAAAAAGTAAAAAAACATGGTCATTACACTTGTATATAATATCAAATGTTCCTTAATGTCAGCAGTATTGTATTTTACCATTTATTACAGATTGCTTTGAAAAGCTGGCAAACATGATAAGTGAATTTCCACTCATTGTTCAGAACTCTCAGTTTGTGTTTGTACCAGGACCAAGTGATCCAGGGTTAACAACTATACTTCCTAGGTAAAGTTAGTTTGATATTTATAGTATCAGAATGAAAGTGTTCCTTTGTGGAACATTCATACTTCTTGTTAATAGTCTTAGACTGCATTATCATGATCATGCCTCTTTCATTGTGTAAAGTTAAAAAGTGTAAGCTAGTTAATACACTTGCTGTAAACAAAATGTTAGTTGATTTTTTTTTTGTCTAATCTATTCTTTGAAATAAGCACACAAAAAAGGACTTTTAAATCAGCAAAAAAAGAAACTTGTATTTCAAAATAAGCAACAGCAAAAAGTTTGTTTTAAATTCAACATTTCATTTACTTTATTTCAATACCATTAAAGCAGTTTATTATAGTGCGTCTTAGCTAATATAAGCAACAGGTCACTGTGATTAAATTGTTTTATACTTGGTATTGTTGAACAAAGAAGGAATAAGAACACTGGATATTCATTAAATTTTTATCAACAATTATATTACACTCTTAAGATGTATATCTTATTTTTGTTTCTCAAAATTACAGTTATCAAAATCTTATTATTTTGCAACTTACTGAACTTTTTTTTCTTTTTACACACAGACCTTCAATTCCTGGTAAATTAGTTGAAGATTTTTGTAATAAAATACCAAACTCAGTGTTTGCAACAAATCCATGTCGTATCCAGTATTGTTCTCAAGAGATTACTGTTTTTCGAGAAGATATGGTTGCAAAAATGTGTCGTAGCTGTGTGTATATGCCTTGGGAACATGAAGAACAAGTCAATGTACCAAATTTGGTAAATGTTTTCATAAAGATCTCATTTATTTATGAAATACTCTGGTAGTAAACCTAGATTTAGAAAAAATTTGAAAGTCTAGACAAAAGTTAATCCTACTCTTCAGAAAGATTGTTAATATTACTTTACTTAATTTATACTTATTTGAAGTATGTAGTTTAGAACACAAAATAATAACATATACAAATAATGCAATTTAATTAAGCTGTAAGTGAGTTAAGATAATTCTGTTAGCTAGTTGAGGTGAGTCAGCAATAGCAAAGAATGAAACTGAAAAGCCAAATAATTCACAAGTTGGTTTCGAATGATCTAGCCATACTAGGAATTCAGAAAATTGAACTATTCTCTTTCTATCAGTTCTAAATAACCCAATAGCAAATTTGAGAGAGAATTATTGACATTTTCTGAAAAACAGGATGTGATAGAAGAGCATGGCATATGGGTATGACTTTCTGGTTTATATCTCACTAAAGCAAGAAGTTGGAAGGCTATTAATCTAGATTATGTCTTAGAAATATCTATAAGTGAGTAATTTATGTTAAACTCAGGAGTTCGTAACAGGGGAGAGATAATATCTAAAATGGATAACTTGGGTCGAAGAAGTGTTAGGTGATACAGAGAAATTAAAACTGAGAATTTATCCAAATATTTCCTTTTGAAAATAAGAAATCAAACTTGGATAATATAAAATTTAAATCATAAACTACATTTTGATGCAAAGTTTATTGACATACATTGACAGTAAAGTAGTTCTATTAAATTTTAAATGTAACTTTGGTAAAGGTAGTGACATGCACTTTTTGACCTTCACTCATACACATAGGGTTAATGTTTTGACTGTATTATTCATTCAGTTTTGAACTTTTTAAAACAAAATTTCAGTCAAGATTAAATTATGAATACATTCCACTTTTGTGTTTTTTCATATGTAACTTGCCTTCATCCCCCACTCCTGGTGGCTCAGTGGGAAATCTGAAGGCTTATGACACTAAACATTAGGTTTTTTTAGGCCTGTTGTAGCCAGAGCACAGATAACTAATTGAGTAACTTTGTGCTTAACAACAAACAAACAAACAAAATCATATGCAACCTTACATATCATTTGGATTATCTGTTCATGGATTCCAATCATTATTTCAATTGGGAATACAAAAAATATATATTTTGAATCAACCTTATTCATGTAATATTTTTCAACATGTTAGATTTACATCTAATATTATGAAACCATAGAGATACTGAAAATGTATTTCTGAAATAGTTAATGAGTTAGTTGACCTTTATTTGATCTCTTGCATTCTCCTGATTGTAGATCCTTCTGTGTAGGCAAAATTGGACATAGTGGTAAAACCAGGAGAGCAACCATCCAGTATATATATATCATTTCTAAGGTACCTAAATGTGTTATTTTAATCTAAGTCTTTCAAAAAACTTCTGTCTGAGAGTACAAGTTAAACTTGTATATGTTTAATAGATATGAAATGATTCTCTCTCCTGAGGCAATTCCAAATGCTTGGAACAGTTAATATTCAATTTTGATCTTGATGAATACATAAAAACATACAGACCATGTGGATGTTTTTTCAGTGGATTTAGCAGGATTTGAAAACTTTACTTTTGTTTATGTCTAAGTATTTGTCAATTTAGATGCTATAGCTTATTGAGAAATTATAAAAAATATTATTAACAGTCCTTAAGTGCAACCTCGTGGTCTTTATGGTTGTTGAATTTATAACACTCCTTTATTACACATTAAGCTAAAAACATCTTATCTCTACCTAAAGTATACTAGACCATTCCAAAATTCAGATATAAAGTTTTTCTAAAGTAAGAGAATTAGTGTTTTGTGTTTAATGTCTACCCACGTTTCCTCATGTAAGTATCGAGTATTTTTGTATTTAATGTCTACCCACGTTTACTCAGGTATGTATCGAGTATTTTTGTGTTTAATATTTACCCAGGTTTAGTTGGGTAAGTATCAAGTTTGTTTCCTGTTTGCTATCTACCAAAGTTTACTCTGGTAGAAATATCAAAAAGTTACTATCATATGAACAATTCATAATGTTTTTTCCAATATTTTATAACATTTGGAATAGATAAAAAAAAAAAAACAGTACTTGGGACTTAAAAATAAAATTCATTTAAAGATCACATACTTAGGTTATATAGATATGAAGTGTTGTAATGTCTGTTACTGAGGGAGTGCTGAAGTTTTACAGTTTATATACCCTTCTCATACTCTATCTGTTTTACCAGTTTGTGAAAACTTTGGTAGCTAATGCCCACCTGTGCCCTCTACCACTGAATGTTGCACCTGTGTACTGGGAATATGACCACAGCTTATGGCTGTATCCTCTCCCTGATATTGTTGTTTGTGGAGACAAATATGACCCATTTTGTGTGACCAATAATGACTGCACTTTCATTAATCCAGTAAGTATGATATTGACTATATATGTACTATTTTTATTGATAAGAACTCTTTTTTTTTGTTGTTGTTGTTATGGTTTCGTAATTTTAACAGATTTCTTAGCAATACTCTGCTTACAGACCAGTTCTGTACCTTTTACATAATATTAGAGGATGCAAAGTTATCACCATATCTATATTCATGCTCTAATTTGATTGCTAAGGCTTTAAATTGTCTATAAACATGCTTTTGTCTGTTTGTTTTACATGATATTGGGTATATCCTTTGTATCATAATTTCTTTTCAGGTACATTGTGCTCCTATTTTAAGAGTTAAAAAAAAATGACATTTTTTTGGCACAATGAAAGCTAAAATCTTTATTATACATTTTAGCCATCTAGTTTCACTAATACAATTACCATTACCAGTCGGCTGAAATTTCTAATAAAGATATTATCTTTCCTTGTGACAAATAAACATCTGTTTTTATTATTAATATCCTTTGTATATGTAACATTTCAAATAATTTTTAAAACAGTAGCAGTTCTTACAACTGAAATGACCAAACCATTATTTTTTTATGTAAAAAGTTACATGTCCCTGGATAGCCTAAAATATCAGAGTTTTGTAAGTTATTGTCAATGAAAGATTAATTTAATGATAGTTCAAGAAGATAAGATAATAAAGTGATGTTGCATGTATTTGTTTGGCAAATATGAAAATATAAGATAATAAGATATACATTAAAATATATGAAACAAATATTAAAATATATATATATTTTTTCTTCAGAATGCTATTTTTCAGTTAGAGCACTTGAGTTGCAATCTGCAGATCATGGGTTTGAATCCTGTTGCCATACATGCTTGCCCTTTCAGTTGTATGGAGGGGGGTGTTATAATTTGATGGTAAAGAGTAGTAGCCCAAGAGCTGGCAGTGGGTGGTGTTAATGAGCTGCCTTTCCCCTAGTCCAGTGTTTCAATCACCTTGCCAGTCTGTGGGATTTTACAAAATCAAACAAATAACATTGATAGAATATTCATATGTAAATGATGATAGTTTTTTATTGTATCTCAAAAGTTTAAGGAGACAACGAGTCAGTCCCTGGTATTGAAAAGGTTGAGAAATGCTGTTCTAGTCTATCTAGTCTAAACTGTGGATGCTAACACAGATAGCCCTTAAGTTTCTTTGCTCAAAATTCAAGAAAAACAAGTACCATTTGTCACTCCCAGAAAATTATTGGAGAATAATGTGAAGCAGTTTTTATTAACCACTTACCAAGTTCATTCACTATAGTTGGTTGTCAGTTGTCTTTAGCATGGAGAGTTAGGTACTTTTAAAAATATATATACAGGGTGTCTATAAAGTCTTTTTACAATTTAAAAAATTTATTACAAAGGCAATTGATAAGATAT